AAAGGTGTCATGAAGGTATATTGGAGGCATAGTGTCAGATGTACATTTTCAGTGATAAAACATCATGTGGGAGTTGTAGTGTATTACATATAATGCCTAAACTTCTCCCGAGACGCTGGTAATCTGGTATCACCATCGGTTTCAAATTCCAGAAAGATGTTAAACTGGCATTGCTGCACTGGGCAGTCCCTGATAAGTCTAGTCAATGGTGTCACTTGTTCGTTTTGAGGCTGCAGTGTTTGGAAGAGCTGGATATGATTATATTTACTAAACAAAGCCTAGGGGTGGAAGAAAGTTATGAACAAAATATCCCCTTTTTCCTCTTTTAGTCAAAAAAAAACTTCAGCCTTTGACTTTAGTCTTTAGTGGATAATATGAATCAATGTATATATATATTTTTTTTTTTTGGTCCTAAGGAATGTAATAAATCTCCACTCCTTTCTAGTTTGTTGATTGCCTCCCTTCTTATATTTCTAAAATAAATATTTTTAAAATGTACCTAAATGATATATACACATTCAATAATATTTCTTAGTGACCTACATTAAAAAAAAATCTTTTTTCCCGCAGGAATTACGAGATTCTTAGCTTTTTTCCCCAACAGTTTCTGCAGAGAAAGGATTAGAGGATTACACTGGCTTCAGAGACATACAGGTTAGAAATGCAGCCTACCTTCTAATTTTCTTACAATTTTCAAATGAAACATAGGTCCTCATCCATATGTTCATGTCCTTCTATCAATAGCCATGTATAGCCATGTCTTGCATTTTCTTCCATGTCTGTCCAATATTACTCAACTGTGTCATATAATTTATTTTAGAATTCTAGAGAAAGGCCTTTAGTTGGTGTTTTTTAATGTGTGTTTTACATCCCTTGCTGATGACTTCCCTTGCTGACGACTTACCTTGCTGATGACTTATCTCTTTCCGATGCTCTGAAATTTCCATAATGCCAAAATGGTCACTAAACCATTTTAATCAATTCACTGTGGCCTGGCACGCTAGCTAAGTTGGTTAATCAGCTGTGCGGCGACCAGGTGACGAACTCCTTGTGGCCCGAGTTCTCACTCAGGGGCAGGCAGAAGAGCCACATATTTTCCAGACTTATGTATCTATAATTGAATCAAGGCTGAAGGGTTGCGATATTCATAGTGCCGAGCCAACGGGTTTACAACTCATTGCTACTGAATACAAATTTTTTTTAAAAACCATTTTGCAGTCTGGTAATGACTGTTTTAATAAATTAGTATCATGTTTTGTCATTCTCTGTGCACAATTATCTGGCGCTTATATTGTGCAATTTAAAGTCAGTAACAGTTTTAGTTTATTTCGACTTTCACAAATTCTCTGGGGCTATAAAGGCTCATACGACACTCAGTCCAGTCTCACAGCTGCCGAGGATGTAAAATCTGGACAATGTGTTTATTGGCTAGTTTGCCACCACAGTTTCACCTCATAAAATCACTAACATTCAATGGAAGTAATGAATAAAATAATGATAAAAAGGAGACAAATCAACTATAATAATCACCACAATTAATCTAATTAACTCAAACCATCACGCTACCACAGTCCTCTGAATAAAGTCAGTAGTATTAAGTAGGGAACTTACATATCAACATGAAAACAAATGAACAATAATAATTACCACACACAAACCATAGAACTACCACAGCCCTTGTCATAAAATTACTAGCACTTTGTGATAGTGATGCAGGGAACAATGATTTGAACATCTTAAAATCAACTAAAACGGTAGTTACAAGAATAAAACTGACACCAACCACCTTGCAACCACAGCCCTTCTTCAAAAAGTTACTAGCAATGATTGGATGAGATAAAGAGAGAATGAAGAAAACAATGTATGATAATTCGACTGTAATTACCACAACAAAATTAAGTAAGACAAGCCATCAATGTGTCATAGATTTCTTTTACAAACTGAAAGAGATGCAGAGCTTAGCTCAGACATGAAATGTACAATCAAAATAATAATTACTAGCAGACATCAGATTCCTTCTTTCCTTCCTTCCATTTGTGCCCTCCAGGCTGATAACTAAAGGTCAGCCATTACAAGATTACACAAATTCAGTCCACAGAGTGACTGAAAAGCAACCCATAATTTTATAATACTTATACACTTTAATGGTAAAGTTGATTTTAAAATGTCACCTCCCCACACATTAAAACATAAATTATTAGTGCTTTTCACATATTCCAAGGCAATTCTAACAATGATACTTTTGATAAGGACAAATGCACTAGCTAATGGTATCATTATATCAGAGATAAGATATTTACACACAAAGGTGAAGTAATCATAGAATGGACTGCAACATCAACTTCTAGTTATATTGTTAATTATCATTAGACAAAAATTACGCAACTGCCCACCTCAGCTGTGTCACATATATAAACTGATCTAATTAAACAAAAAAGAAGCATATATGCCTAAAACTAGAGTCAACATTTGTAAACGTCATTTTCATTTCTGGTACATTTTAGATGTTGACTAGTGTAATCTACTTCTAAGTCACTGCATTTCCCTAGGATGATGGTAGATAATACACTTCTGAGTCACTGCACTTCCTCACACTAATGGTAGATAATTAACTTCTGAGTCACTGCACTACCTCACACTAATAACTTCTGAGTCACTGCATTTCCTCACACTAATGGTAGATAATTAACTTCTGAGTAACTACCCCTCCCCACGCTGATGGTAGATAATTAACTTCAATTAACTTCTGAGTCACTGCACTTTTCAACACTAATGGTAGATAATTAACTTCTGAGTCACTGCACTTCCTCACACTGATAGTAGATAATTAACTTCTGAGTCACTGCACTTCCTTACCCTGATGGTAGATAATCAACTTCTGAGTCACTGCGCTTCCTCACACTAATAACTTCTGAGTCACTGCACTTCCCCACGCTAATGGTAGATAATTACCTTCTGAGTCAATACACTTCTCCACACTAATGGTAGATAACTTCTGGGTCAATGCACTTCTCCACACTAATGGTAGATAACTTCTGGGTCAATGCACTTCTCCACACTAATGGTAGATAACTTCTGGGTCAATGCACTTCTCCACACTAATGGTAGATAACTTCTGGGTCAATGCACTTCTCCACACTAATGGTAGATAGTTACCTTCTGAGTCAATGCACTTCCTCCTACTAATGATAGATAATTAACTTCTGAGTCATGGCACTTCTCCACACTGGTGGTAGATTCCAGCACCTCAATAATATCAATTCCCCACAATGATAGAGATACCAACACCTCAATAGCATCTATTCCCCACAATGATAGAGATACCAACACCTGAATAGCATCTATTCCCCACAATGATAGAGATACCAACACCTCAATAGCATCTATTCCCCACAATGATAGAGATACCAACACCTCAATAGCATCTATTCCCCACAATGATAGAGATACCAACACCTCAATAGCATCTATTCCCCACAATGATAGAGATACCAACACCTCAATAGCATCTATTCCCCACAATGATAGAGATACCAACACCTCAATAGCATCTATTCCCCACAATGATAGAGATACCAACACCTCAATAGCATCTATTCCCCACAATGATAGAGATACCAACACCTGAATAGCATCTATTCCCCACAATGATAGAGATACCAACACCTCAATAGCATCTATTCCCCACAATGATAGAGATACCAACACCTCAATAGCATCTATTCCCCACAATGATAGAGATACCAACACCTCAATAGCATCTATTCCCCACAATGATAGAGATACCAACACCTCAATAGCATCTATTCCCCACAATGATAGAGATACCAACACCTCAATAGCATCTATTCCCCACAATGATGGTAGATATCAAAACCCTAATAACCTCTATTCCCCATAATTAAGGCAGATTCTAGCATCTGAATAACATCAGTTCTCCAAAGCAAAGTTAGACTAACAGCACTGTTATTTCTGTTTGTGAATAACAAATAAAGGCAATAATACACCATTCACCTTTTTTTAGAGAAATCCCTGGCACACATTTCAACATCAGTTTTATAATTCAATAAAATTAGCTACCTTAAGACAAGAGAATAGTTAGCATCCTTTGGATATTTTCTCTAGGTTATGCTGGTGTGTTGGTAAATAAGCAGGTAGATAGACTGGCTGGCTCTACACCACTTTGTGGTGAACTGAAGTATGACAAGTTACATATTGTGTGGGCCCTTAATGAGCGAGAGAACAGTGCGGAGGCACAGACAGATCATTACAATCTAAGGAGAATGGCACTGCGAGGAGTTACAAGGGGATCTGGCCGACGCTCAACACTCAAGGGAAGGATGAGATGGATATACAATCAGACAGTTCCTGGTAACATCGGAATTGGAACTCTTCGCTTGCTGCTGAAGATGGGGACTGAGCACTTATGGGAGTTTCCCGAGTGCTGTGATGTTGATTCTTAATTCAACATTCAGGACAAGAAAATTAAAAAAATAGGGCATGAATGCTGGCTGCTGTACATGTCACCCATTAAAATTCCTGAATCTGTATATGAGACCCATCTAACAGAATCATCAGTGAATTGACAAGAACAATGTTTTTTCCAGTGCATGTATACAGTGGTTGAACTAACGAGCTGACGTTTATATGGAGAGCAAAAACATTTATTACACACAGTGACTGAACACACAGAGTGCATAGGTGCAGTATATCATACAGTGCTGAAGAATTAAGACATATGGTGCTCCCTGCATTGTTCTGCTGCAAATGGCATAATAGAATTTTTCTCTAAACAAATTGTGAAGCTAGATTCAATTCTCATCTGCTAAAAACTAATTATGTACAGAAATAAAATGACTTATAATGAATGACCTGTAAGTTAGCACAGGAACAATATGATATAAACAACACACTAAAGCAGCACAATGATAAAAGATTAAAAACAACAATACACACTTATTATGTGGTTACCATTACATTAATAACAGCATTATACACACTTAAATGAATATGAAACAAGATTTGCATTCCTCATCTGGCAACTTTTCTTTAATGAGCTTCTCAAACACTTCCATGGCCCGCTGACTTTTTCTGATATGAGTTTTGGAAAAGACTGGGTCTGGTGACCTTCCAGGAGATGTCTTTGAAAAACCTGCCATTTTTGACTTGAACAAAGATACCAGTCCAGAATCCTTCTGAGCAATACTTGGCTGCATCAGTGCTTCTTGTACTGAGCTTACGCTGAGGGATGTGTCACTTATCGAGGTCTTCATCAGAGGATGATGCAGCTGATGGCACTTGTCGAGGATCGCCCTAACCTCTTCATTTTCCATGAGACAATATTCTTCATCATCCTCATTTGGGCCATTTTCAGAAATTGTGTCAAATTCAACTTGTGGAACCTCTTCTACTGTAGTTCCCACAGCATTCTGCATATCTGTGTTATCACCCTCCTCAAAATGTCCAGCAATGGCCACATCATAATCTGACGAATCATCAGTTAATGTTGAAGAAGTCTGTCTATTGATATTTGCATCTCCAACAGAGTCAGTGTGAAAATTAAAACGAGATCCTTCGCTTACGCTGCTGTTGGCTTGGCTAGTATGTGATCTGACAGAATGTGGAGATGATACCAAGTCCACCACAGAGGACTTTCGTTTGCTTTCAGCTTTCAGGTGCATTGAAGATATGAGAACTTGGCTAGGACTGGTGGCTAGGATCCCACAGCTATCCAGGACCACCTCTTTGTTATCTTCATCTTTCAGAATCAGAGCTGGTTTCTGCTCACTTTTGATGTTCACACCTCTATGATCATTGCCAAATTGATCTATATTTCTCACCTCACTGTTACCTAAATCTTTATTCAGCTTCATTTTTCTCATCAGATTTAACTGCTGAAGATTCTCTTTGAGATTTGGTTTGGGGATAGAAAACTTGAGTGGATTAACAGCTGCGCTAAATGATGGCAAGGCCGACTTGGGGAAACTGGGCAGAACATTGAGGAATTCCAAAGGAGACTTGGATCTTGGGACTGACAGGGCTGATGTGTCCAGATGTCTTGTGTCATTTGACTCTTCTAATTGACTTGATGAATCCATATAGGCTGAGACATCTCGTGGAAGTCTGATGCCAGCAAGGGAATTCTCCTGTAACTGTTGATGAACATCCATGACACCAGGATGTGGCATACTCTTTTTTCTGCAAAACAATAAAAATTAATAAATATGTTTTATATAAAAGCATTCATTAAAAAAATTAGAAAGGAATCAGATACAATAAAGGAAACAATTTTAGACTGTAAAAATGAAATCCTTTGGGAACTAACAAAAACATATCATGCGAAGTCATTCGGTTAAATTATAAAATTTCTGAACTACCCATTCATAAACTATAAAAATATAAGATTAATGAGGAATGAAACAAGTTCAGAAAAAAAAACATTCTTTACTTTTAAAATTTACATTTAAAAACTATAAAGCAATCAAAATTAGAACAATTCCTAACACATATTATTGTCTATAAGATATTAAAAATGGCAGAAGACGAACAAGACTCACTTCTCGAGTTTTGGTTTTTCAACTATTTCTAGCTTCAGAGACATCATCTCCTGAGCGCATCTGAAGGCGTCTGCAATGATTCTTAAGGATTCTACAGGAAAAAAGAGAAAGCATTCATTTTTATGTTTCACAGTAATTTTCTGTGTAAATATTAACTATATATATATATATCATCTGATGTGTGTGAAATTTGTTGGATTTTGCCAGTTGCTGTCTGACTTTTCAAACAGGACAGTGATAGACATTTGACACAGTTTTTCAGTGGCCCAGGAATGAAGCAATTATAAGGTTACTCGTTTATAATGAAGGTAAAACCTCTCCTGAGAGTCTGAAACTTTTTTTGTGCGGATTATTTATGTTTATTTTCTATATTATTTAACTGACTTTTTTTTTTGTGTACATGTATTTTTGCAACTAAGTATCACAGGGCACAAATAAACAACTCAATCTGCAGGATGTTGAATGCTGAATATTAAACTAAGAGTCGACATCACAATACTCAAGATACTCCCCATCTTCAGCAGCAAACAAAGAGTTCCAGTTCCGATAGAAGTGTCTGACTGTATATCTGTCTCGTATTTCCCTTAAGTGCTGAGCGTCCACCAGATCTCCTGGTAACTCCTTGCAGCGTCATTCTCTTCAGACTGTAATGATCTATTTGTGCCTCTGCACTGATTTGATTTGATTTGATTCAAGAACCAACATCACAGCACTCGGGGCATTCCCATAAGCACTCTGTTCCCATCTTCAGCAGCCAGCGAAGAGTACCGATACTAATGGTGCCAGAAGCATTCTGATTAAACGTCCGTCTTGCCTTTCTGCTGAGCCTTGATCATCTGCCAGAACCTCTCGTCACCCCCAACTGCATCAATCTCACCAGACTGTGGTGATCCATCTGCTCCTCCGAATTGTAGACCCTCTCCCACAAGGCACTAACCACATCTGCTTTATCATGTATCAGTAATCCACCAAGTTGTGCAGAGCCAGCCAGTCTGTCCACCTGTTCATTTCCCAACACACCGGCGTTAACCGGTGAAAAAATCCAGACAATACTCCTGTCGCGTGCGGATGTGCACCAGAACGCACCAGTACTGAGTGAGAAAATAAGACGTCAAAATCAAAACAATACGTAACGTTGTAAAGGTATTGTTGTCAAAGGCAGTTGATGTTTATAGTCCGAAGAAGACGGACGTGTGGATCCTTGAGGACGCTTTACCCCGGGATCCCACGGAAGCAAACGTTGTATAAAGTTGGATCCTTGAGGACGTTTTACCCCGGGATGCCACAGTTCGGCAGTAAGCCGGTATACTTTGCAGTTGATGTTTAGGTGAATTGTCACAGATCGGCAGTAACCCGGTATACTTTCATTGCTTAATTCGGACTTGTCCGAAGACAAAGATAATCGTCTGGATCTCAAGGTCGGACTGCGACCTATAGTGAGGACATATCAGTCCATGGATGTTCGAGCGGGCTTTTGTTGATGTGCTTGAATGAGTATGAAATATTACGTGCATATTTCTCCTTGTGTTGATCATTGCTATTTGTCAATACACAAATGGAACTTTTAAAGAGAGTTCTCATTCCGCTACGTTTGGAAGTTTCAACATTCATCATGTTATGTTACACTTGGCCAGTGGCATGTTAAGTGTTGATGCCCTTTTGTTACATTGCGACGCCCCTAGTCATTTTCATCACCACGAGCCTTTACAGAACGTCACACTGTAGCTCCAAGTATACGCCAGTCACAATCAAGCTACGCTCGTCACAATGGGTGCCTGCCTTTAAAGAATGAGGGACCTCTCGTCACAAGTGTGATACGACATTTTGTCATACTGGTGGTTTTGCCTCAAGTTGTACACGAAGCTCATTCCAGTTGTCACAATCTTTACACAAATACATCTCTAGCTGTGGATATCGTCTAAGTATCAAGTCGCCGCCGCCGGTCTGTTCTAGCATCGTTGGATCTTCATCGGGACCGTATCATTCTTCGTTGGATCTTCATCGGGACCGTATCACTCTTCGTTGGATCTTTATTATAATCCAGTCACCGTTACTGTCTGTGCCACTCTCCGTTGGATTGGATTGGATCAAGTCCTCCTTTTGGTTGTACATTGATCTGCTTCTTGCGTTGTACTGGTCGTTATTTTAGCGATTTTTCATCGCTAACATTGCAGTGTGTTGTTTGTCTGCCACCCAATTGGTAAGTCAATTGTGGTTATTGTGGTTTCTGTTGCGCTGACAATTTTAACTCTTTCCTCCAGAGAACAGACCTGGTTTTCCCGTGCGCAAGTGGAGAGCGAGTGGCACATTAATTGTTACGTGTTATCAAGTAAGCGGGAGGTTGGGCGGTGAGAGCCTTATTCGATATCTCAACCAGCTTACCACTAGACATATCGTCTTTGGCTCTGTCTGTAGCCAACTTCAACCCTCGGAGTGGTCCCCATTATAACAGGGAGATAGTTTATCTATTCGCGACTCTGTGGATTGATTTAGGCTAAAGCGTCTTAGTCTGGTCTCGTCACGTCCTGTACGTTTAGTTTGTAATAGTGCTACCTGGTGTTCTTTCGACGATTGTCCCTTCTCTATTTGTTAGTTCCATTGGTGTATTTGTGGAGTCATTTTTTTTATTATCATCTGTCAGACTCGTCGCATTGTACGTGTGTGACAGTACGCAGTATTCGTTGTCCTGTGGCGTCACTTCATCACACATTTTCATATATATATTGTATACTGATTGTCATATTACTTAAATATGTCTACATTTGCTGAGTTTTTGGAGTTAGGTCGAAGTATAGGCCTAGAAAATGGACAACTCCTGGCTTTCGCCGAAGCCAGAATGAAAGAGTTGTCAGACAGAGATAACCAGTTACGCGATGAGAGAACAGCGGAACGCGCCTGGAAAAAAAAATGGAGTTGGAAAAATTACGCATGGAAAAAGAAGCTGAGGCTGAGAAACTATGTTGGGAAAAAGAAGCTGAGGCAGAGAGACTGCGTTTCGAAATGGAGACTAATTTGGAAAGGTTACGTTTGGAAAACGAATTAGAACTAGCGCGTATAGATAGAGACAAGGTTGTTGCTGTGTCAGAATCAGAGAGCCGTCGTCTTGTGACTAGTAGCCGTTCGGGTTCCGAACAAGGGGCATGTGTCTACATACCCAAATTACCATTTCTTACACCTACAGAAGATCTTCATAATTTTTTGCATGACCGAAGAAGGTTACCGTGTTCAGTTTAAATCTGTTGTGCCATCCGTCGATGGAAGTTTCGCTGATTTTGTGGCCCGTGTTAGAACGTTGTTTACGCGTTGGGTGACATTGGCAGATGTTAAAAACTCTTATGATAAGCTAGCTGATCTCATTATTCGAGATAAAATTTTGTCATCATGTAGTTCGGAGATGTTCTCATTTTTTCAAGAAAGAAAACTGAAGTCAGTTGAGGAGATGACAACATTGGGAGAACAGTATGTCACTGCACATCCTGGTAAACCATTACACAACCCCAGGTTCGATGACATACTCCCAGCTGCATCCAGTATTAGGGTGCACCACAACGCCTCGTCAAATCGGCCCGGGTGGAACAAATCCAATATTAGGCAGGGGCGCTATCGCAGCCACAGCGAACAGAGACAACCACCCCATAGAGATCAAACGTCCAAAAAGCAGGGTGAACATTATCAACCCCGTTCATCTGCTTGTTCAATCTGTTTTTCGTGGAGACACAAAAGTCCCGATTGTCCCCGCAAGCGACACAGGAGAGATGATGATGATGATGGTCCATCATCACGAGGCAGGTTTCAACGCAACACAGGTCCTATAAGGTGCTATGTCTGCCGGGGTTTCCATAAACGTTCGGATTGCCCAAGGGTTGTGAACAGTCATGCTAATTCCGCGCAAGCAGTAAACGCAGCGATGTCACAAAAAGTGACAAATGTAGCGGACGGTCAGGTTCGAATCCAACCCGAAATTGTTTACCCAGCGTTGTCCGCTGTACCACTGGAGGCTGGTTTACTTTTGCATAATGGTAATGTTGGAAACATAAAATCTAAGGTATTACGTGATACGGGCGCCAATGTGATAGGAGTGGCTAGATACCTAATCCCCAAATCGGCATACTTAAGTCGGTATTGCAAGTGTCGTACTTTTGGTGGTCGTCTAGAAAGATTTCCTTTAGCAAAAGTCTATTTAAATAACCCGTATTTTGAAGGTGTTGCCGAAGTGTGTGTTTTGGAGAGACCATCAGCAGACGTACTCCTTGGATCAGTTCCAGGAGCAAAGATACCCTTGCGTGAGGAAATCGAACGCTGGTATAAGGAAAATGAGGGTGTGACTGAAGCTAATGCTGCAGTTACACGCGCTCAACAGAGAGTAAGTAACGAGGAAGCTACACCTGCGTTACAGTCAGCTACTTCGAACGAAAACCAAATAGCTATCACATGTGGGATAGCTAGCGAAGAAGCACTAAAGAATGAACCAGAACGACCAAAAGAGCTTGGAAACGAACCACACGCACCGAAAACAAACAGTTTTGCGATACAACAACGGGCTGATCCTACCCTCACTAAATGCTTTTCTAGGGCAGAAGTAACCGATGTTAGAACATGTAAGCAAGGTACATGGCATTTTTATGTGAAGAATGGAATTTTAATGAGATATTTTAAATCACCTGTTATACAATGTAAACAATTAGTCGTTCCTGTATGTTATAGAACCGATGTTCTGAGAGTTGCACACGACACACCTTTTGCTGCACATTTAGGTATAGGTAAAACACAGAAAAGAGTTCTTGCACAATTCTATTGACCTGGTTGTTCCAGATATTAGGAAATACTGTAGGTCATGTAAAGACTGTCAAATGATGGCGAGAAAGGATGCATCTCAGAAACCTCCTATTCAAAGGGTCTATCTTCCATGTCGCCCTTTCGAAAAAGTTGCTGTCGATCTTGTGGGTCCGCTACCGGTTGTTTCACAAAGAGGATTTAGATAAATTTTAACATTTGTAGACATAGCATCACGTTGGGTTGAAGCAGTACCGTTACGTCATATCACTACTGAGTCAGTAGCAGAAGCATTGATGCTTATATTCTCTTGAGTAG